ACCTACTTGTACCCAGAGTCACCCACTTACAACTTTCCCAACAAAGAACTGTTTTAGATGCATGGCTCTTCATTCTCCCCCTTAAAAAAATGTTAAAGAATAACACTTCTAATGGTGGCCATCAAAATCTGCCTTTACAACCTATCTTAATGATTTCAGGCATAGTCCCTTAAGTCCAGCAGACACTATTTTTACAGATGTGAACATCCAGCTCCAACTGTCAAAACAAAACGGCCACCTGGGGATTCAAACATGCAGGCTCTGGGTTCTTTCCATAAGGACATTTTGAAATTAAGATGGTTCCATCTGGAGGGCCAGCCACCAAGGGGTGTATCTCTGCCTGTGTGGTCGGTGAGCAGGATGAGAAAGGGAGGGGTCGCTGTCCAGCCCCTGTAGAGTGCAACACCAGGAAAGCATGAAAGATGGCCACGCACCGAGATTCTCCAGCCTGCCTTTCCACATTACACACACACACTGCCTGACAACGAAGCTCTGCACATCAGGCAAACTGAATCCCATTCATGAAACTGTAAGTGTTCCCTCCATTCATTGAGAGATAGGGAGTTGTGATTGCCACTGTGAAACAGTGGATAAACTCCAGCTAACCCAAATTGTCATTCCTAAGCGCAAAGGAACTTGAAATCCTGTGCCGGGGTTGTATGTCAGAACAGTGTGGTTGCTAGGCAGAAATATACCCAGCCTCCAGCGAGAGAGAATATACATGAATGTGTGGGGAGGTGTGTTTCTCCCAGGACCTCTTCCTGCCTTGCCTGCCTTCTCTAATCAGCTCAGTCAATGACACAGGAGGCTTCCATGACATTCTCCCTCCCAGGGCGTCCAGAGGCTTGCACCGTGAAACCCGTTCTGTAAACAGCCCAATCTCACAAGGGTTGGCTTTATTTGTTTACATGCCCTCCACTCAGAAATCCACTATGTACACTATTTGGTGACACTTCCAGCATGAAGGCAGTAGCTGTGGCTGGGCAGTAGGCATGTTTGAACCATCAATTTAGAAGGCATATGAGGTTAAAGCATTCTTTAATGAGACACAACTCTGCAGGGACCAGCTCTGTATCACAGCGAGATTAATATGCATATTAGAATGTGTGAATTACCTCTGCATATTGTAATAACCATCCATAAGACTCTAGGTGTAAGAAAATGTATATTTTAGTACTAGATCAATGGGAAAAATCAGAGGTAAAGATTGAATTCACATATGAAGAAAATATTAAATTCATTGAGAAAGAGGCAAAACATCAAGGCTGTAAGTGGTCCATTAAAATCCTAGAAAAAGCATCTGCAATAATAAATTGTTGACTATAACAGCTCATCATAATTCCATCACAAGAAAGACTATTCTTAGACCGAGAAGGAAAAAAGAAATACATCAGCAATGTATTTTGCCCTCAGGTCACAAGATTCTGGATTTACAGGAAGGAATTCAGCCTGCAGGAATGGTCAGTAACAATGACCAGATTTATACCAGAGAAGCTTGTAAAGATAAAGGGGGACAACGCAGCAGGGGTGGAGGAGGCTCATAAATAAACGTGTCCAGAAGCAGAAATCCAGAGTTTCCTGCTCTTTAATAACATAAAGCTTGGCCAAGATAATGCAGATTTATGGATGAAGTAAATTAAGTTATTCACCCAAACCAAGACATTTGTAATAGCCATTCAGGAAAGAGCGAGACCCACTACAACCTTCCACCAGTGACTGAGGCCATGCAGGGCTGGTAGAGTAATTGAATCTGTCACTCATGGCTTGCCCACAACAGGCAGATGCAGCAATGCAGCTGAGAATGCAGTTCAGGGCTTACGCTTCAGATGAGTGATAAGAAATGGATTAAGACAATAAAGTTTTATAAGTACAAACCGAAGAATATATCTTTTAAAGACTTCCATGAAACATCTTGGAATAGAGCCAGAATAATATACCTTGGCCAATGTATCACCGGACATCTGGTTGGTTGAGAAAGCTCATGGAGGCAGGAAGCCCACCGGAACAGCCATCCTAGCTCAGTCCACGGTGATGAAGGAAGCATCACAGTGAACCCAGCACTGTGCCACATACTTAATATACAATGGTGAAAACTTTCTCAAGTTGCTCACAGTTAATCACCAAAAAAAAATCTCCCCAAAACATCAGTGCAGGTTGAATGTATAGTAGGAGGTTGCAAGGGAAAGTGTAGCTGAAAATGACTTCTGTAGAGGTTGGAAAGCCTCCTTGCAGCCTGGTGAGTCGTGATCAGACGATACGTCCTTAATGGTCTAGTTTTAATTTGAGGGAGAGGGGTGGGCTCTGAGTCATATTGGAACATATTTTGTCATATCAAGGGAAAGACTCAACCGCAACAACCCTTCCTACATTCACTTTTCATCATATCTGAAGCAGCTATTTTGCAACCATGAGGGAAAAGCCAAGAAAATCACAGAATTAACTCTGATATCACCTAATGACTAAACCAACACCAGCACCTGCCACCTCCTTGCTATCTTGTTAAATAGAAAAAAAAAAACAAACCCACCGATGTGTTTAGGCCACTATGGTTAGTGCAGCCAAATGCATTCCTGACTGCTAAATCTTCAAAGGAGTCTCTCTTGTGCTGTAATCCCACTAAACAGGGTATGTACACTGGTCCCTTATAGCTAAAGAAGCCCAAACTCCCTTGCCTTATTTGAGATTCTTGTTAGTCTGACTTCTCCCTTCCTTTCAGCCTTCTGCTCCCAGTGTGAGATGCTCTGGTCTCATTAGGATGGCCTTGCTGCAGCCCACCAACCAACCATTCCCCCACCCTTGTCTGCCTGCCTGGATGTGCCGAACAATGAGGTACACCTCTGTCTCCATCAAACCTCCCCAACTCCGAGAGCCTTCTCAGAGCTGAGACTAAAGCACACGCTTACTTTCCCAGATCTCCTGTGACAACCAGCACACTGCTGGTCCCACCACGGGAGACCACACCGGAAATCCAACAGGAACAGGGCTTAACTGTGTTTGGTCGGACTCCCTTGCTTGACTGGACAACTGCGACCCAAAGAGATGGAGGGACTCGCTCAGGGTTACACACGGAAGTATTAATAGACCCAGAACATCAGGCGGCTGGCGCCTCGATGGACATGTTTTCTACTATATTTCATTGTCTAAAAGAAAAGTGCCAATTAGAAGCACAAAAAGTAACCAAGCTGGTGATGACTGTAATGGATGATTATGTCTTTTCAGAGGGCATGAAAAAGAGAGCTGAGTAGAGGCTGATGTGGAGGAGCTCCTTTAGTGTATAATTAACTGCTGGCTTCTTTGTATTGTTCCCGTAATGAACTCAGCCACAATCTGCAGAACAACCTCGCCCGCAGGGGCAAGAAGCAATGCCAGTCTCCGGAGAAGACTGCTGGCGGTGGGGGTCCTCGCGAGGCTAGTCACCAGGAACATTTCTCACTCACCCGCCTTTACGATGATGTGACCTAACAGATGATTTCTTGCCGCGGGCAGTTGTCAGTTTAGGCAGAGATGCTGAGCGCACAGCCCTTGGGTTTTCCACGTGCGCAGACCTTACACCAGAGGAAAGACGCGCAGAGCCTGGAGTGTGCCTCAGTTCCGATCCTCTTTCTAACCAGCTGGTAGAACTGCTCTTGGCTGATTTGAGGAAAAGTGCTCGGCACATTTTGGGAGCCTGTGATCCCCAGAATGACTTAACTGGAGGTCACAGAGGAGGCAGAAGATTCACAGACACAAAAGCTTACATTTTCAAGGCAGCAGGAGCCCTGATAACAACCTACTCCAATCTTTTTTTATTATTATTTTAAAGATGAGGAAACTGGAGCCCAGAGAGGGAAAGCGACTGGCCTGTGGTCACACAGCCAGGGGATGGCAGCCCTGGCAGACGCATGGCACACCCTGTTCTCCGCTGCTCCCTGAACACACACCCCCCGTACCCTCCAGACCTGGGTTCTTTGTGCCCAGAGTGTTGAATATCTCACAGCCCGCTGAAGTGTGATGCTCACAGAAAGATATGCTGACTCCTAGCGAGAGGTGGGTTGGGGCCACCATTTTCCTCACTTATTAATCAGTAAGTGGGCACGGGGCCTCACTTGCCCAAAACATCATCTCACTTGCCCAAAACATCATCTCAAGAGCAGTTTCCCAGATGGTGAGTGAAGGACTTGACAAGACTGGCAGCCGCTTTCGTTTAAACATAGAAGGAGGACAGACCAGCCGACAGAAGGGGAGGGCTATGCAAAGTGATGTCTTTGTCTCCATATCCAATAGGACGTTTTAAAAAACTCTGAAGGGAAGTGGGAACTAAAAACCAGAGATATTAATATCTGTCCAGAGCCAGATAACTAAAGAGTGACAAACCAGTATTAATAAAGAAAGAAAACTTAGACAACGATGACACACCAAATTCTTGAAAGGCCATGGAATACTTATAAATGGCACATAGAATCAGAAATGTGGAATTAAAAATTCAAACTGCTATGAGATGTCTGTGTTTCCTGCTCTATCACTTTCCCAAAGCCAGGCTGGGGCGCCTGAGGCCATGTCTCAGGTCAGGGCTGGCTTCATGAGGGGTGACCAGCGCAGCTGTCCAAGCCCCTGACCCGGGGCTTAAGGCCCTAAGGTCACTGTCTCAAAATTCTTAATTCCATTTTTAATTTCTGTTTCATAATTGAAGTCCAGTGGGAAAGCAGAGCATACCTGGGCACCTTGGAGCCTCACAGACTGGCTCCCCTGCTCCCCTGGGTAGGTCTCAGCTGCCTCCAGCTCATGGTGCCCTGACTCCATCCATCTTTGCCCTCCCTTCCCCCACCACCACCCTTTGTCTAGACTGGCAGTCAAGTCACTTAGGTTGGGGACAGCAGTGTCATCTCTTTGCTCCCAGGTGGGGGTGAGTGGGCACAGCAGAGATGCTAGGAGGCTCTGGGCTATGTCTTAAGGCAGCGCCTGGTGGCCTCTGTCCCCATCCTGGCAGTGGACATCCCGTCACGTGTGAGCCTCTTGCCTACCTCGGATCCAGGTACCAAATACTTTCCCGAGTGGAGACTGCAGTCCCTTTGAGGATGCCGTCCTCAGTGAGCTGGGTCTTTGGGCCTGAAAGGAAGAGGAGATTGGTTTTCATGACCTTGTAGGGGCCAACAGGAGGGGATCCTGGAAGCTGGGGGACCACACTGCCAAGTAACAGGGTCGTCAGGCGCCCAGGAAAGTGTATACTGACCTTGCAAGCAAGTACTCCTATGCCCAAGGGAGTGCAATATTAAATTGCTAATAAAAAGCCAACATAATAGAGAAAGACACTAGCTGTGTGACCTTGGGCTAACTTAACTTGTAAAATGGGAATAATTGTACACACCTCACCGCTCTGCCGGTGAAGTCATCTGGCACTCGGTACTCAATAATTTTGTTTTGTATTTCAATTGCAAACACCCTGGCATAAGGCAAAGAGAGTGGATTTTGGAATCTGGCAGTTCTGTCTCAGAATTCTAGAACTGCCACTCACAGTGTTACTTTCAGAGAAGGAATACATTCAAAGAGAGCCTAGATTTTGTCATGCAAACACAGGGTGATTCTTTCCTAAAATCCAGAGCTGTTCTGAGAATTAGGAGACAGGGAGAGAGATTTTCTAAAGTGTATGGAATGGAGTCAGCACCTGATAAATGTTTACTTGCTTCCACCACACACATACACACACACAAAGCTCTAATCAGAAATAGAAAGTGAAATGTTGACTAATCCTAATTCTTTTTTTTTTTCCCAACAGCTAGGTATGTGAAAGTCAAACATACTTGTGGGAACTCAAGATTATTTTTATTTCCTTATAGACGAAAGTGACTTTAAGGAAACAAAACAGCAAACATAAAAGTCAAAGACTCCGGCTTCTCTGGAAGCTCAGTGGTAAAGAATCCGCCTGCCAGTGCACGAGCCACAGGTTCTCCCCCTGATCTGGGACGATCCCACCTGTTGTGGAGCAGCTGGGCCCGTGCGCCACCACTGAGCCTGTGCTCCAGACCCCGAGCTCCGCAGTGAGAGATGCCCGCACACAGCAACGAACAGCACCCCACGATCGCCGCAACTAGAGAAGCAAAGACCCAGCACAGCCCCAAATAAATAATCATTTAAAGAATATAAACATTAATTTTTTTAAAAAGTCAAAAGGCTCACTTTAACAGTGGATAGGCAAACATCTCCTTAGATGACGATCTTGGTCATTGTGGTTTCCCTGCCTCAGACAGTGACTGTGCTGGGGCTTCGGGAGGGACCACAGCCTCCCAACCCAGCTGCCTTTGCCAAGGGCCAGAGACAACGGGCTCACCGGCATCCCCCACGCAAACATCACCTCTGGGCTCCCACCACCAAATCCTCTCTCCAGCGGGTTTGCATCTCTCTCTCCTCTCTCAGGAGGTAAAATATTGACTCACTATATATAAATTTTTTTAATAAAGGCAAATTTGAGCTTTAATTTGTATTTTAAAATAAGTTCTCGTAGGACATGGACCACCAGGGAATTCGTTACATACAGCTCTTAGTGGTACACATTTAATGAACATTTAACTAAAGAAAGAAAATTGCTGGTATGCATGATTTCTTCTTTTTTTTTTAAACTGCTGAGTACCATAAATCCAACCTGTCATTTCTTTTTAACTACATTTGCCATAAAAGCACTTATTTTACAGCTGCCGTGACATAAGCACTGCTGTTTCACCTGATGATTAATACAGTAATTAGCATCGGTTCTAATATCCTCAGCAAAAAGGCCATGCTTTAGATGTTGCTGTCGCACAGAGAGGTTTTCGGGTTTCTAAAGCAAGCTGGCACTCACGGAAGGCTGCATACGGGGGCCTGTGGAATGCATTCTCTAATGTACATCGTGGAGACCAATTGATAAATTACGTCAGGCTGGGTTAGTCATCATACAGAAAATATCATTAGAGGTAAAAAAAAAGGCATGGGAGGAAGCGGGCAGGGGTAATTTGTTTTTCATGGTTGATTTATGTTATAGAACTATCCTTCTTAGTCAATTAGCAAAAGACAAAATGCTGGGGAAAATATAATAAATTTCAGAAAAGAAGAGGCCATTTCAGAGATCTATGGTACACAGACACGAATGACAACTCTTTTGAAACCAGGATCCCGTGGAGTCAGCTGGAAATGATATTTCTGACTATGGATTGTGTCCATGGGGCCCCGCCAAGTGCAGAATTGGGCCCTGGGCTCCATCACATCCTTCCTTCCAACATGTGTTTCCTTAGAGTGGATCTGAGGACACCTCAGGGGGGGCAGGGAAGAGGACCACGGTGGTCCAGGGAGGTTCAGGGTTCGTTTTTCGAAGAAACTTCAGGATGCTGAGCTCAGCCACCAGGGAACCTTTTGTCAACCAAAGCCCTCTGTGGTTACAAAAATAAAAATTAAAAATTGCATTGATTCATGGGTATCGCTGAAAACAGACCCTCTCTCTTTTTAGAGCTTGCCTTGGAAATCTATTAGGAAAATTTGATTCTTGGGACAGAATGTAAATTTTCTTACCAGCCCTATAGTCACTGACTTCACTGCCCTTCCATCATTCATTCATTCTTTCATTCGTTCATTCACTAGGCACTTAGGCTGTGTCTGGCTTGGGCTTGGCCCTGGGCAGACAGTGACTCTTATTTAGGAAGCCCGCTGAGTAGGGGAGATACTAGCGTGGGTCTGGATCTAGGTGTCACTAGGTACGAGCTAAGGGACTTCAGGTAAGTTAACTTGCCCAAACCAGGTCTAAAATGGGTTTCATGACTGTATCTGTCTTATAAGGTTGCTGTGAGGATTATATGAGGTAATGCCTGTGAAAGAGCTGAACACAGGGTCTTGCTCATCATGACTGTTCAATAAATAGAAACGCTCACTCCTACCGAGACAGGCCCAGGACTGTGCAGGGAGGTACCAGGAGCTGCTTCTCCAGTGCTGGGGATGAACGTGTAGAGAGCCAGCTGAGCTCTGTCCTTGGGTGTGTCTGTCTGTGGGGTCTCCCTGGGATCATATGCCTATCTGCAAAGAGCTTCTCAGATCTGAAATAGTTCCTCAGATCAGAGAAAATCATCAACCAACAGAGACCGAACAAAGCATCTCATACTGATCAGCCCAGGGTTTCATTGATCAAACTACCCAACCCAGACATACCCTGGCAGGGACACTGGACGTTTTTTCTTCCTCTCTCTTTCCTTCTCCCTCCCCTTCCCTCCCCTCTCTCACTTGGCACACCCTCAGACCCCCTTCCATTTCTCCTAAGAGAAGGACAGTGCCTTTAAGGTTCTGGATAACCCCTGTCACCTCTCAAGAGCCCAATAAGAGTGTACGAGTTAGCTGCTCAAAAGTGAGTGTATTATCTAGGGTGAAACAGATCACCAGCCCAGGTTGGGTACATGAGACAAGTGCTCGGGCCTGGTGCACTGGGAAGACCCAGAGGGATCGGGTGGAGAGGGAGGTGGGAGGGGGGACCGGGATGGGGAATACATGTAAATCCATGGCTAATTCATTTCAATGTATGACAAAAACTACTGTAATGATGTAAAGTAATTAGCCTCCAACTAATAAAAATAAATGGAAAAAAAAAAAAAGTGAGTGTAATTCACAGACTCCGCTCCCCCGGGGCTGGGAGGAGCCTCAGAGGCTCTTTCAGTCGGAAGGTCTCAGGTCCACTCTCTGATACAGCCATGTGCCCTGCTGCCAGGCGCCCGGAGTGGAGGCGGAATGATAGCCTGACCTCTCTTCTCTGGGGCGACAGTGACGAGAGCGAGAAATCACCCAGTGCTCCCGCTGCACCCGTCACCCCTCAGCTCTGCCCTCCCTGGCGCTCAGGATGCTCTGTCGGAATGTTTCAGATGGCTTCCTTCAGCCAACAGGGGATGTGTCTAGGACCAGCACACCGAGAGGCTTCTGGATACAGGGCAACTTGTCTCTGCTTTTTTTCCCAAAGGGACTACAGCCAACACAAACCCACCCCAGCCGTGTCTTCAGCCACCTCCCACTCGCTAGTTTCTCAAGTGTGTCTGTTCTTGAGAGGTGCCTGATCAGAGGAAGAGTTAGCACCAGTGCCTGGAGGGGTGAGACTCGGGGAGAAGACTCTGAGGACCAGCCAGGAGCCAGGGGCTGGGAGTGGGTAGGACACGTGGACCCCAAAGGCCTGTGCCAGCCTGCTGCCTTGGCCTGACCTGGACAGCCGTCTTCTCCCTGTGTCTTCACAGGGTCCTCCTTTGTATTTATCCATGTCACAATTTCCCCTTCTGTTTTTGCTTTTGTTTTTTGGTCATGCCACGCAGCACATGGGAATCTTAATTCCCCAACCAGGGATCAAACCCATATCCCCTGCATTGGAAGCATGGATCACCAGAGAAGCCCCCTCCCCTTCTTATAAGGAAAGCAGTCATCTTGGATTTGGGCCCATCCTAATGACCCCACTTTGACTTAATTACCTGTATAAAGACCCTGCTCTCCAGACACCCCCACATTCTGAGGCGCTGGATGTTAGGACTTGAACACACATATGTGGGGGACGGGGGGACAATTCAGCCCATAAGAGGAGCATATTGGCAGCACCTCAAAACTCCTGTCAAGCACGTCTAGGTTCAGCCTGTTGCTACTAGCCAAGAGCCACCCCATGGCCTCCACTTCATCTTCTCAGGGTAAGACTTCTCGACCCTTGAGAGGGGTTCTTGTCTGTGCTGAACATGAAAGGACATTTTTCAGTTCCCAGAGCAGCTGTGGGGAGTGTGAATTTCTGTGGTGGACAGCTCAGGGCGAGGCTTACCCACACTGGTGTGAAGTGACTGAGGCAGACACGCTTAGCCCTGTTTCCGGCTCCATATTCCCCCCTTCCTCCTGCCTTTTTATCTTCATTTGCTCAGATGTGAAGGTAGCCAACTGGTCAAATTTCACACATCTTGATAAACTATCTGTACTCCTTTCTGCATTAGGAAGACTCAACTGAGCTGTTCTGTCGTCAGCCAGGACCACCACCTCTCCCTTCTGAGAGTGGCAACGATAATTCCCAAGATCTCCCTTCTCTGGATGGTCCTGGGTTTGTTTTCCATCGAGAGGAACTCTCGTGAGATATGGAGGGG